ACGTTACCTTCGGTGTCCATGTCACAATGAGTGAGCACAGATTTTCCTGTTTTATACTCGTCAAACCAGTATTTGCCACTGACCGCTTGTCCGCCTTCACTCGTCTTGATCTCTGTACAGGTTTCAGCTGGCAGCTCGGGAATTGAACCGAGAGGGACTGGAAAGGAAGACAGTCATAACATTCTCCAGCTGTCAGAGTTGTGTTCAATTACTGAGAAACTTTTCATTATTGCCTCACCTCTGTTCCTGTCTCGTCTAAAATAATATCTGTCGGTGTTAGGCACAAAATCCTCAGGCCTTGCTTCTTTGGTGCGATTGTTGAGCTCACACGCAGACTGAGAAATGACGTAATTAAAACTCTGACACGTGATCTCCTGATGACACGCCTGTAAGCACTCATATCCGAATGATACATGAATTGTTTTAAAGACGTGTCGCTCAAGCATCATTCCCGAAGTAGAATATTCAGCACCGCCACCTGGACATTGCAATTGTTGAGTGGCCGCTCCTTGAAATAATTCAACGATAACAAGTAGAAATGGGAAGCAAAGGAGGCCTCTAATGACAGCCATTCGATCTGTTCACGTCAGTATTGGACGCCTGAAAACAAAATATAGTTACTGAATGAGCGTGAAGTCGCCCGCCAAAGTTAAGCAGTTATTTACGTTTTTCTAGGCCGTCCTCGCGAACGTTAAACCATAGCTGGTACCAACTATAAACCCAAATATTTTGTATGCCATGTTTTGAAAAACCAATCACCAAAAAAAAAACTTGCCAGTGTTGTCTCCTTGCAATTACTTTCTCTGATTATCCCCTTTCTTCCTGTTCTGTATTTGTTTTGCAAAAATAGCAATTACGCGTGTTTCACGATAAGCTTTTTGCATCGCACAAATAGTTGCGTCCGTTTCGATTGGGAATCTGAATCCACGCTTTAATTATGGCTTATTTTCTAGACATGAATTTGAAAGTGTACTCCAACTAAAGAATCGATGCAGGTAGTCAGTCGTGTCTGCATGGCCTGCAGATTTTACTGATTTCTGAAGTACGAAGTGAAGATAACTGTTTTTTTGCTCTGAATGAGATGCTCGTGAGTCTGTCACAGATTTTACCTGGAATTCGGGTTATCATTAACACACGCACCTTACTACGTCAGTTCTAAAACGTCTCCAATTGCCCAAAAGCAGAAGGCGATCGTAAAGAAACGTAAGTGTAACTGGCTGCACACGTCCGTTGGGTGTCCCTGAATGCCGACTTCCTGCTGTCAATGCGTTAAACTATGCATTCCCGATTGGGTTCTTGTACATGTAAGCTGCAAGCTTCTGCATTGGCGAGTTTCTCGAGAAAGATGACGGAGCAACTAAGTCGAAATGGATCTACTCTAAATAGATCTATCCAGTTGGGTGTATATGAAAAAGCAAATAAAAATTGAAACGAAATTTAAATTCCTGTTGAATTGTTTCTAAACTAGAGTGCACTAACAATACCAACAACAAAATAGAACACCGAAAATAAATAATAAAAATTAAGGAAAACCTCTCTAACCAGCAATTCAGTTCTGGTATAGATCGCCCAGCCTGTCTCTAACAAGCACTTCTGTAAATTAAATTCCCGTTATTTACTTTTGAAATGTAAATTACCGTTTTGAAGGGCAGAGAACAGGTTGTTCGCATTTCTTTATGTCGATTGATGATAAGGCATTTTGATATTGCTCAACTCCATTAGTGTTTTCAAAACAGAATTAACTAAAGTGTCTTTTTTTCATAGAAAAGCTCTAGAGGATAACATAGATAAAATTAATATACCTTAACGTACGAAAAAAAAAATACTATTTTATTTTTGGTTCTCTGTTGTAAAGAGCTAAGACTGCGAAAAAATAATGAAATATTTGAGAAAGATAATTAGTCGTGCTTATAATTTTAATTACGCGAAAGCCCATAAAATTTAATTAAAGTGGAACCTAAGTAAGATATTCAGTAATTTTAATATTTTTCGCACCTGACCAGCGTTTACAAACTCTGAATGTACATATGACTTATGCAGAATTAAAATAGGACTATTAAGTTTAATTTAGAAATCAATGGCAGCAATCATAGTCGGCCTCTAATAACGATTTCTCTAAATTCCATTAGCTTTAAAAACTGTCTCCATTTTGGACAGTTTGAATGACCAGTTTGTCAGATCGTCTGGGTGGGAGTTCTGAAAGCTTAGTTACCGGTTAATTTTTCGGTGACTTCTGAGCTATCAAATAAATTTTCAACCCAATTCTCAGCTCAGTAAATTTGCGGATCTTATATCTCAGCTGACAGTTAGAAAACGCAACATTTTTCAGCTGATGTTTGTGAGTATTGGACAGCCCTTTCCGGCGTGACGTGGATAAAAATCATCTCAACTACAATATCAAGAGTCAGATGATGAGGGAAAAATTGCGGCTCACAATCTATTGGGGGGAACCACTTAGTATTCTTTGTGTTTTTTTTTTTTTAACGACAAACTTAATAACGTTAAACGTATGTTGGTCCACCTTTTTTCACTTAGAATCAACGGATGTTTTTTTGTCAAAGCTGGGTTCGTTATATTTGCCTAAGTTTAAAGGTAATAATAATGATAAATTATTTAAAGCTATGTTAAATTAACTTTTAGAAACCTTTTTTGAGCGGTGTTAGTGATATCAAGATCTTCTCTCCTAAAAGGAGATATTTAACATGCATGTTCGACATAGTGGTAACCCACAAATTTTTCAAATATCACGACCTACTTGTTCTTTAAAGATGGACGACCTCGGCGGAAAAATTAGACGAAAAATATTGTCTCATTTTTCTAACTCAGGGCTGCTCGCGAGAACACGCGAAACTCATGTTGAATGTGAAGGCGCGACACGCGAAATGGAAAACGCGTCACGTTTCCTTCTGATTCTTGTACTCGCTCGCGCCCGACTCACCCTGAGATAAAATAAGTTACAACTCATAGTCTAATGGAAGATATGCTAAGATGGGTGCGCTGAAAAAAACACTTAAACACACGAAAACACTTTAATGGTATTTCGTGACGTATTTCGGAGCGGCCCACTGAGAACATCCATGTCATTTTACATGATGTACTCAAAATGTCCAGCATGTATGACGACTGTGGGCTCAAATGGAACAAACATCAACAAACATGGCGGCGGCCGCTTGCAGAATGAGGTGCAGTCTTCGTTCATCTCAATTAGGCGCTAATCATGTCACCAAAAGCTTCCTCTACTGTAGGAATTTTTGCACCTCGACCAAGGTAAGACAAACGTCCAAAAATTCCGTATCTACAACAGTTTTAGGTCAATAAATGTTTGTTAGAGACCAACGATTAGAGGTCATTTACCGTATCTTAATAGCAAACTATTATTTATCCAATTTATTGTTATTTTTTGGCAAGAACACCGTTGACGAGGAGGAGATCGAGAAGCTGAGTAGGACCACAAGTGACTGGTGGAATCCGAATGGCGACTTTTGTGCTCTTCATTCTATGAATAAACTTCGAGTTCCCTTCATAAAGAAATCTCTGGAACATCTTCATACACAAGACTTCACCCCTTCGAAACCCTTAAGAGGCTCTAGAATTCTAGATGTGGGCTGCGGTGGTGGGATACTGTCAGAGGTATATTTTTCTAATAATTATTCCAGGGCCATTGTTAATTTAAAAGAGAAAAATTATTGTAAATTATCATTATCATTTTTTTTTTTTGAAATATATTTTGCAATTTCAATTCACTCCTTTTCGGTTAATTTAATTTTACTTTTTATTTGACAATACATACATGTGTAAGATGCCATGTAGTGTCCTTGTAATTTGAGATAAAACTTGATGGAAATTTGAAAACTTGAGAGAATGAGGAAACCAGAAGCAACTTGCATTTTGTACAGTACATTATTCTACAATGGCTTTTGGACAGCAGTGTACGGTTTAAATGCTCACACAACTAGGAAACGTGGTGTACTAACTTTATACCCTCACAAAAACTTTGAACTAATTACAGAGTAATGTATATGAAATTCAAACTGTGTTATTGTGCTTTTTGTACAAGTACATGAAACGTAGCTGACCTGCAAAATAGGATCTTGGTAGATTTCTAAGTGGGTATTAATACTTTGCTAGATTTATAATGTTTGAGTAGAGGTCTAACTCTTGCTGTCCTTTGAAATTTTTCATCTCACAGTCATTGGCAAGAATAGGTGCCGAAGTGACTGGGGTTGATGCATCTGCACGCAACATACATGCTGCCTTAAGACATGCACGCCATGATCCAATGGTGGCTGACAGAGTACAGTACAAGTGTACTACAGTAGAGGAGCTAGCTGACAAGGAACCAGAATCTTTTGACTGTGTTGTTGCTTCAGAAGTTATTGAACATGTAACAGATAAAGACACATTTATTTCTGCTAGTACTCAACTGGTTAAGGTGAGGAGAGGTGAAAGAGACAAAACAAAAGTCAATCTGACTCAGTTATGNGCCATTTTTTAACAAATGGTGCTGGATTGAAGACACAAGTGTTAACTTTGCCTTGAGGGCAATAAAACCTGAGGGAATGTCACCAGAGGTGACATCGGATACACACACCAACACCGAAACATGATAAATTATTGTATATAACATCTCAACACAGAATAAACTTTTCAGTAAAGAACTGCAGCATCCCTCTTTATTGTATGTTTTTCTAAGTTTAAAACTCATTCTACAACTTAACAACATCTCCAACAAATAGACCACTTTACAGGTCTGTGAAATGTAACCTAGCCTCTGCATAGAAGCAAGGAAAGAGTTGGCCCTGTCAAGATAGCAATTAGAAACTAGTTAGGATGGTAACAGAAAAATGTGGATTTGAAAATTATCAAGGTTTGTATCATAACTAAGTTAACTCCAGCCCATCTAATATTCACAGGCCAGATCATTCAGTTCTGAATTGTAAAATGGTCTATTCTCCAAGACTACAATGTATGCCCTTACTCCAAGCTAGCTTCCACCTGTTAGAAGTGCATAACAAACCTCTGATACTCAGAAGTAAAACACAGACACCACTCCATAACCTCAAAGTGGCAATCTTCAGGAGCAAATTGTGTTAGAGTTTACTGCCCTAAGTTACATGTCAAGCTGGATTGGTGCGAGTGTCTTTGTTTTGGAAGTCCCACTGTGTAACTTGCCTCCCAGCATAGTTGTATTTTGTAAAATGTGACCAGGTTGTGCAAAGTGCCTATTCATTATAAGTAAAGACCAGTCTTGTTACTATGGGATTTACAACTCTTTTCCTACAACTGCTATTGTCAGCAGGTTGCTACTTCCAAGTAGCTAACACATTCACCAGATGTTGGCTGTTCAATCTTACAGAAAAAAAATTCAATTGGTGTTTTACACAGCTCTTTTAATTTCAGGTACATTGGATGAAAGCTTCATGCTTTTAACACAGCAAGAAAGTAGAGCAAAAGGTGTATGTGTACAACTGGACAGCTGTTGCGGGCCAGTCTAATTGTGAAAATGTTAAGTTAGGAATCAAATAAAGTTTGTTGTTGTTAATACTAACATTTGAAAACAAAACTGTAGATTAACCTTTTATTTTATTGATTAATTCATAGAGGCTGATCACCTTAACAACATAACAGAATTTATTGAAGGATGACAGAAGATCAGATACTTGATATATAAATATTTTTTACAAAATGTCAATAAAAATATTCCTAGTTAAATCGTTGTCCTATTTTACAAACATTTCTTGACACAAATTATTGCTGTTATTTCCCAAATCTTTGTTGACATTGTCCAAATCTTCTAAGAGATGATAGAAAGGTCGAGTAGTCAATGCTGATGTGAGTTCTCAAAGGCCTGGGGATGAAATGAGACTGGTTAAGATCAAAGGCTTCTTAGAGCTACAAGTACCTCATGGTATACACCGAATGCAAATATGGCGGACCACT